TTGGACGGGATCGAGCGTGTAGCGGGAGCTGGGCAACAGCAACAATAACAACAACAGCACCACCAACACCAACACCAACACCAACAGTCAGATTCATATTGTTCGCTCTTATCTGCTCGCGTGCCATTCATCACGTAGATCCCAAACCCTCGATACCCGCCCTCTTCGTCTTCGATCGCATCAGGGGTATACATTTCTTACTTGCAATGCGAATTTCGTGCAGCCCTTAAGGCAGGGGAAGAGAGGACGGATGGAAGGAAGGGGCACGGGGGAGTGAGGAGGATGTAGCACGAGCGAATAGCAGAAGGGGGGCTTCGAGCAGAAAACACCTGGCAGAACCAGGCGGGCAGAACGGGCGGGTAGATTCCAACGGGCGGGTCGGGAAGGCCGACCCAGGCGGTCAGGTCGAGCAGGCGGGTTGCTGAAGCGCGCTTCCTGCATGAAGTGCGAGGAAGTCTAGATCGATAGCGCGATTTCCACGGGGGCCAAAGGGCATACGTAGATGGGGCCGCGAGGGCAAGGACGGGGACATTGAGGGCAGAAACGGGGCCACGAAAGGCACCGAGGTGGCCGCAAACGGCGACAGCGGGGCCACGAAGGGCATGCATATGGGGCCACGACGGACGCGAACGAGCGGGGGCCACGAAGGGCATACACCTGATGGGGCCAGAAAGGACGACAGCGGGGCCACGAATGGCATGCACATGGGGCCACGAAGGGCAACGAGGGGGCTACGAAGAGCGACACCGGGGCCACGACTGGCATGCGTGTGGGAAGACGAATAGCGCAAGCGAGCGTGGGACAAGAAAGGCATATAATGCGGGGCCACAGAGGGTAACGACGGGGCCGCTGAGGGTAGCACCAGGGCTACGAAGGGCAGCGAGGGGGCCACAAAGGGCGACAGCGGGGCCACGGAAGGGCATGCATAAGGGACCATTACGGGCGCGAGCGTGCGGGGGCCACGAAGAGCGTACGCAGATGGGGCCACAAAGGGCGACAGCGGGGCCGATTGGGCAGCAAAGGGGCCACGAAGAGCAGCGAGAAGGCCACGCAGGGCGACAGCGGGGCCACGAAGGGCATGAACAAGGGGTCACGACGGGCGCGTGCGAGCGGGGGCCAGGAAGGGCATGTCATGCGGGGTCACAAAGGGCAGACACGGGGCCACTGAGGGCAGCAACGGGGCCACAAAGGGCAGCCAGCGAAGGCGACCACGGAACCAGTACGGGCAACGAGGGGCATCGACGGCGGTCCCGAACTGGCTGGTCGGGCGGGCAGGCCCCGACTGGCGGGTCGAGCGGGCGGGTCGTTGAAGAGTAAATCCTGCTTGTGTCGTCAGGAAGTATTTAGCGGGAGCTCGACTCTTAAGTCAATCGTGAGGAGGTCCAAAGCGAGAGCGCGACTCCTAAGTGTCGAGGAGCGCCATATGATCAAAGTGTGAGGGAGATTCAGGCGAGAGCGCGGTTCCTGAGAGTAAATTGCAAGGCGGTCTCAAGCGAAAACTTGCTGCAGGTGCGAGACCCGGGAGGGGCACTGACAGTTGAAAAAGCAATGTGCACCGGGCATGGACGATCAACAATAATTTCTCCGGACGGAAAGGTCAAAATCAACAATACCAACGCGAACGCCAGCAACAACACAAACAACACCATCAACACCAACAACAACAACACCAACAACAACAATATCAACAATAACAACAACAATAACAACAACCACAACAACAACATCAGCAACAACAGCCACAGCGGCACCACCACCACCACCAGCAACAGCAAAAACGACAACAAGGCCAATCATGTTAAACTTGTCCGTTTTTATCTCCCCGCGCTTCACCCAACATGCATACCCCAAGCCCTCCATACCCGCCCTCTCCGTCTTCGATCATGCCCTCGGTGGGGCATTTTTTCCTTTACCGGCCACGTGTAGTTGGCGCAGCGCTTAACGCAGGGGAAGCGAGGAGGGGAGGAACGACGGGGATATATAAGGAAGGGACACGACAGAAATGAGCAGGAGTGGGGTCAGGAGCAGAATAACCAACATCAGAACCAGACGGGCGGGGTGGGTCGGGCGGGCGGGCCCAGACGGCTGGACCGAGCAGGCGGGTTGCTGAAGCGTCAGTCTCGAGCGATAGCACGATTCCAAGGCAAAGCGTGAGGAAGTCTTACGCGACAGCATGGTTCCTGATTGTTCGGGGCGCGGCAATTCGACAAATAGATACCACGCCGGAGCGCGAACCCTAAACACATGTTGAGGAAGTCCCGCGCGAGAGCGCGATTGTGGTTACAGTGTGAGGAAGTGTCAGGCAGGAACCGTTGTTGTGGTAGTTCGGGGGCCAACAACGCAGTCTGAAGAGAAACACTTTTCCTGTGCGAGCCCTGGGGGTGGGAGCACCCTAATCGACAAAACACATGGGCACCGCGCAGAGGGGATCAACAACACTGATTCTTGAGAAGATAGAATTCTTCACGCTTTGCATATCCCCACCAGCCCATCCGAAACCGATGCCCAGGCGTGTTGAGACGATCATGAAAGTGTAGGAGCAACATGGGGGACAGTCGCTACCGTTCGAGGGAAGGGGGAGGAGGAGGAGGAGGAGGAGGAGGTGGAGGAGGAGCAGGAGGAGGAGAAGGAGGAGGAGGAGGAGGAGGAGGAGGAGGAGGAGGAGGAGGAGGGACGATGGAAAGGGAGAAGGGTGATGAGTTTGTGGATGATGATGAGGAGGAGGCGGAGGAGGAGGAGGAGGAAGAGAAGGAGCAGCAGGAGCATGAGGAGGAGGAGGAGGAGGGGGAGGAGGAGGAGGAGGAGGAGTTGGGATGATGGAGGAGGGACAAGGATGATGACTTTGCGGATGAGGAGGAGGCGGAAGAGGAGGAGGAGGAGGAGGAGCAGGATGCTGATGATGATGATGATGATGATGATGATGATGATGATGAGGAGGAGGAGGAGGAGGAGGAGGAGGAGGAGGAGGAGCAAAATGGCGAACGGAAGAGCCAGAAGCTTCTTGAATGCCACTCGGAGTCTCCTCGGATGTCGCTTTGAAGCTTTCTGGAAGTCTCTTGGGGCGTCTGGGGGAGCATCTTGGTGGGCCCAGGGCCGTCTTTGAGCGTCTTGGGTACCTCGGGGATTCTCTTGGGGCCGCTTGGGGGTCTTTGGGGAGCCTCTTGGGGACCTCTAGGCGCCTTTGGAGCCGTCTGAGCGCCTCTTGGGCTCTTGGGAGCGAGCGGCGCTCTTGAAGCCATCCTGGATGACATCGAATCAAACGGAAGGGAGCTTGAATTAGTTCTGCCTTTCTAGAGTGCCTCACATCGCCTCTTTGGGCACTCTCGGGGCGCTATTGGGGCCCTCTTCGGCCATCGTGAAGCCATCTTGAGGCCTCGGATGGCCATCGGGAGCGAAAATGCGAGAAAGACACACATGTTGTTTCCCCGTATGCTTTTGAAGGATTTGGATCTCTCGGGGGTCTCCCTGCGGAGCTCTTTGGCCACTTGGAGCCGTCCTGAGGCGGTCTCGGGGCCTCTGGGAGCATCTTGGAAGTCATCTTGAGCGATCTTTCACTATCTAGAGTCATCTTGGACGCCATCGTGCACTCTCTGAGGCCCTCTTGGAGCCATCTTGGACGCTCCAACTACCCGCAACGGGCCCCGTCCAAGTCCGAGAGGGGAACGCTGTGGGGCCCTCCTGTCTCATAATTTTCGCATCAGCCTCATCATCATCATCATCATCATCATCATCATCATCATCATCATCACCATCAGCTTCATCATCTTCATCATCTTCATCATCATCATCAGTTTCATCAATATCTTCATCAAATTCCTAATCAACAGTTCTCTTGTGTTGCGTCAGGAGGCGGTCAAACAAGCACTGCCGCGACAAAGGGCACGGCGGAGGCAGACCTGAGAGCCGTGACGCGGCAGAGAGACCAGCTGATGGGGGCAGAACAGGAGGCTGACGAACAAGTTGGCTGCCGCCGAGAAGAAGGCTGACGAGCTTGAAAAAAACACCACACTGCCACCTCTGAGCTGCGCTACTGGAATAGGTGGTGGGCCAGCTTCAAGAGCTGGGCCCCCGACCACCTGCCGCGGAAGCTCGCAAAGCGAGTTCTTTGGCTGGCCGACAACGGCCCGCCGAAGGAGCACGCTAACGACTGGGGCTAGGCACCGCCGCGCAGTTGCTGACTTCAAAACAGCAACACCACAAACAGACGGGGGCGACGGCGACGGCTGAGGGAGGAGCGGGAGAGGGCGCCGAGGGCCGAAGTCGTCACCAATGTATTCTGCTTGAGGGCCCGTGAGGTTCCTGGGCGTCCCAAGAAGAGATGCCCTCAACGCAGCGATGTTTGAGGGCATCCCAAACAAGGGTGCCGTCAAACAGTTTGGGGTGTTGTTGGTAAGGGCGCCCCAAAAAGGGATGCCCTCAACGCAGCGATGTTTGAGGGCATCCCAAACAAGGGTACCGTCAAACAGTTTGGGGTGTTGTTGATATAGGGGCGCCCCAAAAAGGGATGCCCTCGACGCGGCGATGTTCGATGGCATCCCAAACAAGGGCGCCGTCAAACAGTTTGGGGCGTTGTTGGTAAGGGGCGTTCCAAAAAGGGATGCCCTCAACGCAGCGATGTTTGAGGGCATCCCAAACAAGGGTGTCGTCAATCAGTGTGGGATGTTGCTGGCAAGGGGCATCTCAAAAACGGATGGCCTCAACGCAGCGATGTTGGAGGAATTCCCCAACGAGAATGCCGTCAAACATTTTGGGGTGTTGTTTGGTAAACACAGCGATGTTTGAGGGGGTCCCGAACAAGGGTGCCGCCAAACAGCTTTGGGAAGGAAGCCCGACGAGGGGCGCAGGAACACGCAGATGGAACAGGGTGCAAAGAGACTAGTAAGAACCCAATAAGGGACCCGGGAGGGCACCCAACTGGGATCTGGTAGTTCCGTAGTCGTCCTGGCTCAAGTGTGCATTGGCGTTCTGTTGCGTTTTGCGTGCTGCCCCGGGGGTTTCTGATGCGCCTACAGATGTCCTCATACAGCGAGGGCTTCTGCGCCGCCGAGTGGATGGTCAAGGTCAAGAACGGTTTCATTGACGAGGAGCAGTGTGGCCAGAAAAAATGCGTTTTGCGGAGTCAGCCCCAGGCCACGTGGATCTTCCCCAACGACCGCTTCACGGACACGCAGTGGGTCAGCCAGCGTACTGGGCTGTCAAAGACGCCAGCTACGGCATGCGCGGCTACGTCATCGGCCCCATCAGCGGCTGCACTGGGGAATGCCTGCTCGTGTCATTTAAGGGCGAGGAATACCGCGTGAAGTTGAGCTCGATATCTACCCGCCGCCCGAAGAGAGGGCAAAAGGGGGACCAGGCGCTTGCCGAGGCGCCCAAGGGCTGCGACGCCGGTGTCGAGCCGCAATTGCATGGTCACGCGACGGGATCGACTGTGCACTTTGCAGCGAAGAAGCGCCAGCGCCTGGGCCCGCGCAAGGGCAAACTCATATTCGGCGCGAAAGGCATCGTGATTGGCCAGAGCACAGCTTTCACGGAGCCCTCGCTGCTCGCGATGTTCAACCGTGAAATTTACCACGTCAGGAAAAGCGCAGTGCCCACTACGCGCCCGAACCATGGCCGCCAGGCAGCGCCGCCCCCCAGCGCGCGCCCCGACATGCTGAGCGACGCCGATGAGTGCCACAAGCAGATCGAGAACCCTTCGCTGAAGGTGTTTGACACCGACGACCTGCCCAGGGCCGCGGCGAAGACGAGACGCCCAGCGGCGAGCCATGCATTCCCTGAGATCACGCTCCCCGCGCGCCTGTTCTTCGCGGCACTCGTCTACGCCACGCGCGGGCCGATTGGCGTTCGCAAGGGGCCTTTTCACCAATGTGTGCCTCCAGAAAGCCTTGCAAAACCTTGGCTACAAAGTCGCGATTAATGAGGATGGGCCCCGCTGGGCTCTCCGAAACGGCAATCGCTTCCTTTCTCCGTTCGGTAAGGCGCGGCAGCGCGTTCAGAGGCCAGACCATGATACGGGCCCAGCTAAATACGTCGTGCACGCCTTCTTTCACTTCATCGCCGTCAAAGTATTCGAGGACGGATACGGCGTCATCGATGACGACGAGCGGTGCCAGTTCGACGGCCCGATCAGCTTCCTCGAAGAATTCTTCGGGGCAGGTGCCATCTGGTACCGCGTCGTCGACATCGAGGATGTGTCAGAGCAAGCTGCTGTGACGGATGCAGAGTCAGATTCGGACAGGCGCTCTTCGCCGCGTTCAACGGACATTGGCCCGTTGGCCGGCAGGCGCGCTTTTGGTGCTTACTTGCAGCGCCTATACAACGCCGAGGAAGCTTCTCGCCATTCAGGCGACACCGATCTAAATGACGAGCCCTTTGGCGCGCTGCCGCGCGACGATGACTTGTTTCATCCTCGGCCGAACTGCGTTTCATCTTCGACGAACTCGGCTACTGCCGGGGGCCACTGAGCATTCCCACAGCGAGAATATGGCGGACAGGCTGCGCGTCGTCAAGGCAGTCATGCGGCTGCCAAACGTCCGCGCTGATTTGCTGTTCCACGATGACGCATGCCATTTTGAACAGCGCGTGCAACCGTGTTCTTCCGCAGTGCCACATATTTCCTGATCGGTAAGTTTCACTCGAAGAACCACAAGTGCAGCAAGCGCAAGTGAACAAAGGCGGAGACGACGCGCGCGAATGGCCTCCCGTCGGGGCTTCCCGAGATCTTTAACAGCTGGATTCGCTCCGCCAGCTTCTTCCTGAATTCTTTGCGGCCCGCAAGCCATCGCTTCTGGGTTGGCGAGTTCTGTGAGACGTGGAAGGCCGCTGAGAAGGATTCGTCGACATGCCGACCTCCTCGGCCCACTGCGAAGTCCAGGGGGCGCAAGCTTGAGCGAGTAGCACTGGCGTAACTTTGCGCCTTGCAGAAAACGGAAACAATTGACATGCGGATTGCTGGTAGCGATCGCGCGCTTTGAGCAGCGCGCTCATGAGTTATGATCTGCTCGCGATTAGCTCTATGGCAGCCGAAGGAGGGCTTGGCAGGGGGCGGAGGAGGTGGAGGAGAGAAGGAGGAGGATTAAAAAAGAAAGGGAGGAGGAAGAGGATAAGGCAGAGGAACAGGGGGGGAGGGCGAGGCAGAACAGGGAGAGCGAGGGGAAAACCGGAACAAAAACATGAAAACCACTAACACCCTTTTGTTTTCACATTGAAAAATAAGAAAAAGCAGCGACACCTGTCGCTATTGTCCACGTGTTTCTTGTTTTACCTTGTGAAAATACATGGTTGTTTATAGTTTGTTTTTTTTTTTGTCCGTTTTCCTCTTCCCCCCCTTGAACGCCCCGGGGTCTCTCAGCGGCCCGCGGCTTGCCCCCCCAGCAGAACGGGAGAGGGGAAAACATGAAAAACCGGAAAACAAGCAGAACTTTTTGCTTTCAAATGGATAAAAAGGAAAAAGCAGCGAAAGCTGCGACTGTCGCTCTTTTTCAAGTTTTCCATATTTTTCCATGTGGGAACAAATGGTTTTTCTTGTTTTTTTCAACGTTTTTCTCGTTCCCCCCCCGAACGCCTTGTTTCCGACCGTGTACTTTGCAGCGAAGAAGCGCCGGCGCCTGGGCCCGCGCCAGGGCAAACTCATATTCGGCATGAAAGACATCGTGATTGGCCAGAGCGCAGCTTTCGCGGAGCCCTCGTTGCTCGTGATGTTCAACGGTGAGATCTACCACGTCAGGAAAAGCGCAGCGCCCACCACGCGCCCGAACCGTGGCCGCCAGGCAGCGCCCCCCCCCGGCGCGCGCCCCGACGTGCTGAGCGACGCCGATGAGTGCCGCGAGAAGGTCGAGAACCCTTCGCTGAAGGTGTTTGACACCGACGACCTGCCCAGGGCCGCGGCGCAGACGAGGCGCCCAGCGGCGAGCTATACATTCCCTGAGATCACGCTCCCCGCGCGCCTGTTCTTCGCGGCGCTCGTCTATGCAATTTGCGGGCCGATTGGCGTTCGCAAGGGGCCTTTCACCAATGTGTTCCTCCAGAAAACCTTGCAAAACCCTGGCTACAAAGTCGCGATTAATGAGGATGGGCCCCGCTGGGCTCTCCGAAACGGCAATCGCTTCCTTTCTCCGTTCGGTAAGGCGCGGCAGCGCGTTCAGAGGCCAGGCCATGATACGGGCCCAGCTAAATACGTCGTGCACATCTTCTTTCGCGTCATTCCCGCGAAAGTATTCGAGGACGGATGCGACGTCATCGACGACGACGAGCGGTGCCAGTTCGACGGCCCGATCAGCTTTCTCGAAGAATTATTTGGGGCAGGTGCCATCTGGTACCGCGTCGTCGACATCGAGGATGTGTCAGATCAAGCTGCTGTGGCGGATGCAGAGTCAGACTCGGACAGGCGCTCGTTGCCGCGTTCAGTGGACATTGACCCGTTGGTCGGCAGGCGCGCTTTCGGTGCTCACCTGCAGCGCCTATACAATGCCGAGGAAGCTTCTCGCCATTCAGGCGACACCGATCTAAGTGACGAGCCCTTTGATGCACTGCCGCGCGATGAGGACATGTCTCATCCTCGGCCGAACCGCGTTTCATCCTCAACGGTCTCGGCTACTGCTGGGGGCCACTGAGCATTCCCAGGGCGAGAATATGGCGGACAAGCTGCGCGTCGTCAAGGCAGTCATGGGGCTGCCAAACGTCCGCGCTGATTTGCCGTTCCACGATGATGCGTGCCCTTTTGAACAGCACGTGCAAAAGAACCACGCAGCGTTCTTCCGCAGTGCCACATATTTCCTGATCGGTAAGTTTCATTCGAATAACCACAAGTGCAGCAAACGCAAGTGGACAACGGCGGAGACGACGCGCGCGAATGGCCTCCCGTCGGGGCTTCCCGAGATTTTTAACAGCTGGATTCGCTCCGCCAACTTCTTTCTGAATTCTTTGCGGTCCGCAAGCCGTCGCTTCTGGGTTGGCGAGTTTTGTGAGACGTGGAATGCCACTGAGAAGGGTTCGTCGACATGCCGGTCTCCTCGCTCTACTGCGAAGTCCAGGGGGCGCAAGCTCAAGTGAGTAGCACTGGCGTAACTTTGCACCTTGCAGAAAACAGAAACAATTGACATGCGGATTGCTGGTAGCGATCACGCGCTTTGAGCAGCGCGCTCATGAGTTATGAGATGCTCGCGATTAGATCTACGGCAGCCGAAGGAGGGCTTGGCAGGGGGCGGAGGAGGTGGAGGAGAAGGAGGAGGAGAAACAATAAGGGGAGAAGGAGGAGGAGAAGGCAGAGGAACAGGACGGGGAGGATGAGGCAGAACAGGGTGAGGGAGAAGAAAACCGGGGAAAAACATGAAAACATATGAACATCCTTGTGTTTTCACATGGGAAAATAGGAAAAAGCAGCGACACCTGAGACTGTCGGTCTTTTTTTCCAAGTGTTTCTTATTTTTCTTTGTGAAAACACATGGTTAGTCTTGTTTTTCATGTTTACCCGGTTTTCCTCTTCCCTCCCCTGAACGCCCCGGGGTCTCTCAACGGCCCGCGGCCTGTCCTCCCAGCAGAAACACCGGAGAAACAACCAACACCCTATGTTTTCACATGGACAGATAGGAAAGAACAGCGGAACCTGTGACTGTCGCTGTTCTTCACGTTTTTTTTCCCCTCCCATATTTTCCCATGTGAAAACGCATGTTTTTTTATTGTTTTTCCTGTTTCTCATGTTTTCCTCCTCCTTCCCCTGAACGCCCTGGGGTCGGCCCGCGGCATGTCCTCCCAGCAAAACGGAAGAGGGGAAAGCAGGACAAGATATAAAAAACAAGCATAGCCATGTGTTTACACATGGAAAAATAAAAAAAAAAAAAAAAAACAGCGAAACATATGACTGTCGCTCTTGTTCAAGTTTTTCTTATTTTCGATGTGAAAACACGGGTTGTTTCTTGTTATTCCTGCTTTTCCTGTTTTCCTCCTCCGACCCTCTGGCGTCCTGAAGGGTCCGATCCGCCTACGGACCATCCGCCCAGAATGCGATCGTCTCGGGCCCAGGCCTCAGGTGACCACCATCCAATTAGGATAGGGTGTGTTGTCAAATCGTGTTACAAAGAGCGGACCATTGATCCAAATGGTTCGCTCGTTGTTTTTGAGAGAAGAGGGCCCCGCAGCGTTCCTTTCTCTCCAAGTCCAGGGGGGGGGCGTAAAACGGGAGGGATTGACCCTCCCCGAAGGGGGAACAGGAGGGGGTGGGAGAACATTTTCTAGACCACCCACGCCCTAAAGGGCAGGTGCGATTCAAGCAGCCGCGGACTGACGGGGCATGGGCACGATCGGAAAAAAAACACATGCGATCCTTCGTGCAAGAATGCGTAGGATAATCCCACCAGCCCTTTAGGGCGTGGGTGGTCTAGAAAGTGTTCTCTTCCACCCCCACCTTTTTTCCCCAGTGCTTCCAAGATGCCCCCAAGAGGCCCCCAAGAAGCCTCAAGTGGATCCCCGAGGCATCCAAGGCGCTCAACGAAGGCCCTGGGCCCGCCAACATGCCCCCACCCCCAGACGCCCCAAGAGGCCTCCAAAAAGCTTCCAAACGACACCCGAGGAGATTCCGAGAGGCATTCAAGAGGTTGTTGGCTCTTCTGTTCGCCCTTTTCTTCCTCCTCCTCTTTTTCTTCCGTCTCCTCCTCCTCCTCCTCCTACTCCTCTTCCTCCTCCTCGTCCTCATTCTGAAAATGCATCATCCCTCTCCCTCCTCCATCTTCAATCCTTCTCCTCATCCTTCTTCTCTTCCTCCTCCTCGTCGTCGTCCTCCTCTTTCTCCTCCTCCTCCCTCCCTCGAACGATAACGACTGTCCCCCATTTGGCTCTTACGCGCCCATGCTCGTTTCAAACCGACTGGGCGTAGGTTTTGGATGGGCTGGTGTTTGTACTTTGTTAGATTGCGACCGCGGCGAGAAGGTCGAGCTGGTGTGGATATTGTTTTACAGCCGCAGGCGGAAGCGCCAGCGGCGGGAGGTCGCGAACGGGCCGCGGCCGCGACTAAATTACCTAACGCGCGCGGGGCCGCGGGTCAGGCGGCTCACGACAGCGTCCAGGGCGGCAAGGCCGATGCAACCCAGGAGCCAGGACAGCCCCATGAACGGGCATGCAGCGGTGCGACCAACGCGCCCGAGGTAGCACCGAAGAGACCAAACGCAGCCAACATGGCGCGGACGCTCTCGAAGTCCAGGTGCGAACGAAGGAACGTTCCCGAGGACGTCGACCCAAGCCAGACGAGTAGCACAGGCAACTGGAGACGTATGTCCAGCGGGACACCGACGGCGACAACGAGCCGCGACGCCAACGGCATCAAGGTGTGAACAAGCGGCCGAGAAACATCCACACCAAGATGCTTCAGCCCAGACCCAGCGGGTAGAGGGCGCGTGATGCACGCCACACAGTCGAAACGCGGCGTGTGCACATCACAGTCACAGTGCTGTCCAGAACGAGTCGGAGAGTACACGCGGGACGAGACCGCGTGCCCAACAAGTCCCTCAGAGCCACTGATCCAGGGTCACGGCGGAAAGCCGTCCAGCATTGAGAGAACCCGAGGGCATCGATCCAGGGAGCCTGACGGGTACCACAGGCTGACTGAAAACGAAAGTCCAGCGGGAAAGCAGACGGCGACCGAAACGCGACGCAAGAAAGCGCATCCAGATTGGAATGATGACGAGAGTGCCTTCCACAACTGAGATGCGCAGCCCCAGGTCCTGGTGTGGATGTGGATACGCGAAGCGTCAAGAATTGCTACAGTTGTAACGGCACGGTGCCTCGGTAGCCTACCGTTGTATTCTTTGTTCCAACGTAGTGCGATGGTTAGCTGCGCGGTGCGTCAGGGAGCGGGGCGAGTGGGGGAAGAGGCGGGGAGGAGGAGGAGGCGGAGGCGGGAGACGTGAGGGAGCTAGGACGCGAAGGATCAATCACATGTCCTTACGACAACGAATGTGAGATCCGCGAGAGCATGACCATGCTCGTATCTCCCGCTTCGGAGTCGTGCCCCAGGGCGCTGGCTAGTGGTGGACACGAGTATTGTTGGGATCCTGAGGTTGCTCCGGTATTCCGGAATTCGTAATGAAGTGTGTGTGTGTATGTGTGTGCGTGTATGTGGGGCACACTCTTGTTGGGGCGTGGCTTTGATTTGAACTATCTTGGAGGGTTCTGGGAGGTCTGGGCAAAAGGCCGTTCTTTCATGGCTGGTCTGGGGGGTCCGGAATTGCTCGTCTGGGAGGGTGGTGACCCCCCAAACGTCATTGCGACATCCGAAGTACACATGCACACGTATCCCTCAATTTCCAAGGACGGCGGACAGCCATCCAAGCGATGTAATCAGAACCTCGGGATCAGGACTGATTTGGTGAGGGCTTGCCGTTCCTCAGGTCCTTCCTCTTGTTTTCCCTGGGCGCTCCTCGCGCAACTAGACGCAGCTGAGCCAAGAAGCGCTTTCGTTCTTTCCCGGCGGAGCCGGGTGGACTTCCGTGCCCGCCGGTGACTGACTGACTGACTGACTGATTGACTGACTGATTGACTGACTGATTGACTGACTGAACGTCAGGAGGGCGCCTTGAACAACACATTTCAAACCGCCCGCGGGCGCGCAACCGCAATTGGGCGACACATTTCGACCCGTCCGCCGGCGCGCAACCGTAACCGCAACTGGGCGACAGATTTCAAACTGCCCGCGGGCGCGCAACCGCAACCGCACCTGGGCGACACATTTCAAACCGCTCGCGGGCGCGCAACCGCAACTGGGCGACACATTTCAACCCGCCCGCGGGCGCGCAACCGCAACCGCACCTGGGCGACACATTTCAAACCGCTCGCGGGCGCGCAACCGCAACTGGGCGACACATTTCAACCCGCCCGCGGGCGCGCAACCGCAACCGCAACTGGGCGACACATTTCGACCCGCCCGCGGGCGCGCAACCGCAACCGCACCTGGGCGACACATTTCAACCCGCCCGCGGGCGCGCAACCGCAACTGGGCGACACATTTCAACCCGCCCGCGGGCGCGCAACCGCAACTGGGCGACACATTTCGACCCGTCCGCCGGCGCGCAACCGTAACCGCAACTGGGCGACACATTTCAAGCCGCCCGCGGGCGCGCAACCGCAACTGGGCGACACATTTCAACCCGCCCGCGGGCGCGCAACCGCAATCCCAACTGGGCGACACATTTCAACCCGCCCGCGGGCGCGCAACTGCAACCGCACCGCCCACGTGCCGTCCTCCTCCAGGGGATCTGAGGCGGAGGAAGGGTGGGAGGGAGGTGGGAGGGAGGTGGGAGGTAGGTGGGAGGGAGGAGGGAGGCGGGTGGGAGGAGGAGGTAGGGGGGGGGGGGAAGGAGACGGAAGGAGGGTAGAGAGCTCACAATGATTGGGAGCGGACAACTTCTGCCTCCCCCCGTTCCACGCAAGTGGATCTCCACAAGGCTCCAGACCTTGGATTCCTTATCCAAGGCCTCCACGGTCTGCTGGCGGGATGGATGGTGTAACCGCCCCCGAAGGGGGAGACGAGGCTTTGACAGAAACGGTCCGTTGCACCGCCTAGTTTGAAGTTGTGGGGGCGATGCCGCGGGGATCGATTGCGCATTCACCCGCGCGCAAGCTGCCCGCGGATGTAGGTGCATCGGCGCCGTCTTATTCATGCAGCATGCCGCGTCTTATCCATGATCTGGTGCAGGAGAAGGTGGAGGAGGAGGGGGACGAGGACGAGGAGGAGGTAAGGGAGGAAGAGGAGGAGGAGCAGCAGGACGAGGAGGAGGATGAGGAGGAGGAGGA